ACCTAATATTAGTAGAAAGAATAAAAGTAGAATTAGAAATCTATTTTAACTTAAAAAATTAATATATTTATAAGATAGTAATAAATAAGGTAATTAAATATACTATCTTAAATAATAATATCCTATTTTTAGTTCTAAATAAGATAGTAATCATACCTACTATACTAATAGACTTATTATATTAATAATTAGGTTATTTATTTATTAAATAATTAAAATATAATAAGGCAATATTTTATAATAATAATTTAGTTACTAATAACTTGCCTACTATTAATTAGAATACTAAACTATACTATAAAGCATGTTAATTATTAAAATTAAAGAAAAAGATATCCTAAAAACTATAATTATATATAATAAAACTATTATAATTTATATATATAGATCTCTAAGAAATCAAACTAATTAAAAGAGATAATATTAGATATATCCTACTAGTTCTAGATAATTATTCTAGATACCTTTTTATATAATATTTAAAGGTAAAAAGTAAATCTTTAAAGATATTAAAGGAAATATATAATAATTAGCTAAATATGACTAGTATCTATATTAAAAGGGTTAGATTTAACTCTATTCCTAAATTTAATAAGTATACTAGGTAGAGCAAGGATTTTAGCACTATATATAAACTAATACTACCATAAACCCCTAAGGAAAATAGTACTATTAAATAATTTAGTAGCTATATAATCTAGACTACCCACATAATATATATATAAGCAAAAATAGAACTAATTATATAGCTATATAGTATAGATATAGTAGTCTATATTTTAAATAAATTAGTTAGAAAAGATAATAATAAAGAAAAGCTATCTATATAACTTTTTTATAAAGAATTAAATATTTTAATTAAAGATATTAATTTATAATATATTTATATATAAGAATATAAGGTATTTATAAATATTCTATATAAGGATAGGATTAAAAGTATAAAAATATTACCTAGAGTAAAAATTAGTTAACTAGTTAGATATAATAGAGATTATATCTATAAGATATAGTATCTAGATATAGGAAAGATAATTTAGTTAAGGGATATAATATTTAATAAAAATAATACTAATAAAATAGATAGAATATAATTATAACTTCCTAATAAATTAAAACTAAATAATAATAGTCTATCTAAAGTAACTATATTTATTAATATTAAAAGGAAAAGAATAATTCATAATAGTATATCTTACTAAACCTTATTATTAATAAATAATAATAAAGTTATTACAGGAAGAATTTAAATATTAATACCTAATCTAGCCCTACCTAAATCAAGCCTATCTAACCTAGAGGCAGGTACCAACTTAATATATCTGCACCTACCTACCTCTAGGGCTGTCTCTAAAACCACCCTATCTAACTTAGAGGCAGGTATTGAACTTATCATACTTGAGTGGCTACCTGCCTCTAGGGCTGCCCCTAGGGCTATCTTTAAAACTACTAAGCTTATCATATTAGAGTAGACACCTATCTCTTGGCCTGCCTCTAGGGCTATTTCTAAAACTATTATCAAGTAAAATAATTAAGTAATTAGTAAAAATATAGAGAAGATAGTAAGACCTAGTATAAAGGAATAATCTAAGTAAAATAAATATAAAAAAATAATTAACTATTTTATTATAAATAATTTATATACTAGTTAACCTATTTTTAAAAGAATACTAGTATTATAACTAATATAAAGGCTTTTAAAATTATTTACCTAATATAGGGAAGTCTTACTAGTTTTAAAACTTTCTAAAAATAACTATACTCTAATAACTCTAGATATATTAAAAAGAAAGTATTTAAAGATTAGAAAGCAGGTTAAATTTAATATTAGGAAAGTAAAAATAATTAACTAGGTAAAGATATAAAATCCTACTAGTAGGGATACTAGTAATAATATTATTACTTTATAAAGATTTTTAAAATTTATAAAGAATTAATACTAAAGTATTTACTTTAAAAATAAGTAGGTAAAGTAATTATAGAAAAAGAAAGTAAAATAAAAATAATAATCTTAATTCTAGTTTATATTACCTCTAAAAATACTTCTAAAAATGCCTTATCTACTAGAATCCTATCTAAAGCTAGAAAAATTACCTAATATAATTATTATAGTATTACTAGATCCTAGTAGTTTTATACTAGAGATTAAGTCTATAAAAACTTATAAAATTAAAATCTTATAAATCTATATTTAAGTAATAAAGTTATTATAAAAAGATTACTAAATATAAGTAATATAAAATTAAATTAATAAGCTTAAAGCTATTTAGACTTATAAATTTATATTATTATTAAAAGATATAAAGATCTTACTAGAAAAATAAGTATATAATTTAAAATTAAATATAAATAATAATATATTATAATTTTATATAAAATAAGTTATATATAAAAATTTCTAAAAACTAGATATAAATTTTAATTAAGTCTACTTCTTAATAATAGTAGATACTTTAGTAAAGCTATTTTTAAGTATAGTTACTTATTTTAATTTAAAATAAGTATAATTTAATATAATAACTATCTATTTTAATATAATAATTAAAAATTAAAAAATCTATATATATTAATTAACTAGTTTTAATAAATAAGATAATATAGTATATCTACTACTCTAAGTCCTATATAAATTATAATAATTAATATTTCTTTAGTATAAGAAATTCTATAATATTCTAGTAAAAATTAGTATAAAGGTAATTAATAAAAACCTATACTTTTATTATAATCTAGACTAGTAACTAATATTTATTATCTATATTAATAATATAATAATTACTAGCCTTAATAAAGTAAATATTTAATAATTTATAAATAAGCTAGAAAAATATTTTAAATTAAAGTAATTAGATAAACTTATATAATTCTTAGGATATAATATTTATAGATTACTTAATAATTTAATATTAATATCTTAATATATATATATCTAAAAGATACTCTATAAATAGAATTTTTATAATCTTTAGCTATATTATATATTAATAACTCTAGAATAGAAATTAACTAGAAAGATACTAGATACTAGTAATATTATTCTAGATACTATATATACCTCTATAAATAAAGATAATATTACCTATTACTAGGAGCTAACTAGATTATTAAATTAGATTACTATTTAAACTTAATTAAATATTTAATATATAATAATATAACTATTATAGAGAAATTATAATCCTAGTAAATTAAACTATAATATAATTAAATAAGTTTTCTAATATTTAAAGAAGACCTTAAACTATATAATAGTCTTAAGTTATTTAGATAATTTATTATATATATATATTAATACCTCCTATATAGATTATAAAGATAAAAAATTAATAAAAGGCTTTATATTTTTTATATTTAAAATATTAATTATATAAAAATTAGTAAAGTAATTACTAATTACTCTAAATTTAATTATTATTAAATTTATTATATAGAATATAATAATAAAGCTAGTTATATAATTATAAAAGCTATATATAATTATTAAACTAGAATAATCTATAAAAAGTATTATATCTTTATATACTAATTCTATAAATATTATTATATTAATAAAAAAACTAAATTATATATCTATACTTTACTAAATAAATATTTACTACTTTTTTATAAAAAAGATAATTAAAAATAATAGAATTTAATTATAAATAATAAGTAAAAAAAATAATATTACTAATAAATTAACTAAGATATTATTAACTATAAAATTTAATAAATTTATTAAGAGATTAGATTTTAGCAGGTTAAAGATAGACTCTAAATAGCTTTATATAATAAATATATTACTAAAGGGGGTGTATTAGAGTACTATACTTAGTAAATACAACTAATACTACTATAAAGCAGTATTACCATAAAGAAGAAGATAGTAACATGTAACTACTCTATATATTTAGGCTACTATTTCCTTCCAGATCTCCATACTTCTTCTAAGCATCTCTCCTTCTCTCTATTTCCTAGTTAGATCCAATTAAATTCATTTCGGTCAACTTTCTACCATCATAGTTTGACGACCTTCATCAGTTTATAGTTAACAATACTCTGGATTTGGTTAGTTTGCAGTTAGGGAGATGGAGTGATTACTAATTCAAGACGTCATGTGATAACAAGATGAATCATGTGACTGGCGTCCCCGTGCAAATTTGTGTCGTCCGTTTTTTCGGGGTTAACGAGTTAGTTCTCTCACTGGAAACCCGAATATTGTGGTATTGGACTAGTAAAGACGGAGTAAAAAGTGGAGCACAAGGAGTCAAACCACAGTTCGACATATCCTGCGTCTTACACCTGGTGATTCCTGGTTGGAGAGTAGCGACAGGGGACGAAACGACATCGTATAGAAGCAGGTCTCGATCCTCGAATCATCTCCAACGCTGGAACTTTGCATGGTGAACAATTCGTCCGATCCTTTATATTCTGATCCGGTGGCTTCACGCCATTACAAGCCCATCGGCGTCGTGTAGACCAAGCTTTCAGGATCTACAACGCCGAAACCGGATAGGGTTAATAGCATCATATAACGAGATGAAGGAAAACGCCACCGGACGCCTTTGGTCAGAGAGGCCCCCGAACGGTTCTGCTATATCCCACACACGCTCAATCAATAGTGAATACGGCTCCGATTGTGAAAGAACCGTCTAGGCATAGTTATCCCGGGTGTTTCTCTTCAAACCCCAGTCTCAAGGGAGGCCCCGATCCATGGATGTGAATGACGGCGAACGTGGCTAAACCGATTTTGCTGAGACCCACAGGACACGCAAGTTCTGGATGCATAATGCCATCACTGTCAGTTCGTTTCACGGCCATTTTCTGGCATGATTAGCCCGGCCCATGTCCCCATGATGTTTTCTTAGCGCTTGGGGCTTCGTAGGTCCCACCGTCCCCCGCCCAAGTGTCATTACTTGATTCATTAAGGGGGGTAGGGGGGGGAGAACGTCAATTAAAACCTCCTTTTTGCCATCAGACCTTTTTTTTTTTTTTTTTTGGTTTTCTCCCGAAGACTCCAAGGTATGCGCTGGGGCAAAATTATCGGGGCTAACCCTATAACACTCGTGGTTTTGTTTCACCCGTTTTTTAACTCTCCCAGCTACGTACATATCCTTGCTTGGCCCTTATTGTTCCCTGTCACCAAAGCATCATGAGTGTCGATAGTTCCCAAACCGAGAAGCCTGAGTTCGGTCAGCTGTCTGAGACCCAAACAGTGCACACGAGGGATCCTGAAAGCCAAGTCGAAACAAGAGATACAAATTCCACGACATCAACCTCCCTCTTTAGTGGCGCGCGATGGCGTGAAGTAGCTAGGTCTGTCCGAGAACAAACTGGCCGTCTAGCTGAGCAGTTGGGTCGCCCTGCGTCCCATGGCGAGCATGGGCTAGGGTCATCGCTTGTGCACCCGGAAGAGCTGGGCTCGACAGAGGATGATAAACTAGCAGCGATCTTTCGCAGCGGCTCACAGGACACATCAAATGAAGGTCGATATCAAATGGCGGTAAACGAAGAGGCCAAAAACTTGATGCGAGGCCTTAGTGGACTCCGTCACCGGAATGCGCCAGCAACGCCTGAGAAGGACAATTCCTCGTTCCCCGAATCTGACAACACAACCCTCGCCGACCACACACCAGCAGATGTGGAAGCCATCGGAAACACCCCCCAGCCGGGGTTCTCAGGGGGGGTACTATCTGCCCTACTCCAGCTGCAGGCCAATCAAATGCAACATTCCCGCACCGATAGCCTCTATTCTGCAGCGGAATCCGATCATGAGTCGTCGCAACCCTCCCTACCACTCTCTGGGACTATAACTCCCACCCCGGGAATGCCTCATGCCCCGACTAGTCCCACCCCCGCAAAGCAAAAGCTCCAAAAATGGTACAAGAAGTCTAACCATACCTCGACTGCGTCCCTAGTGCAGGCGTCTATGAACCTAGGCCACATTGGTTCTTCCTCCGCATGGGCGAATACTAATGTCCCAAAGGCAGAATTACCCAACGCCAATAAGAAGAAGAAGAAGGGCAAAAAGATTCACAAGGACATTAAATTGACAATTCATATCGCCGATATTATCATGCGGCAACGTTATATTATGTTGCTATGTCGGGCGATGATGAAATATGGAGCCCCCTCGCATCGCCTTGAAGAATACATGCAGATGACCGCTCGAGTTCTCGACATTGATGCCCAGTTTCTCTACTTGCCTTCATGCATGATCATGTCCTTTGACGACCGCATTACCCGCACTGCCGAAGTCAAATTGATCCGCGTGCAAAGTGGGTTGGACTTGGGTCGCTTGGAAGAAGTTCACCATTGCTATAAACGAGTGACACATGACATGGTGGACATGCAGACAGCCATCAGCGAATTAACAGAGTTGATGGAACGAAAGCCACGGTATCCCGTTTGGCTGGTGATCCTCCTTTACGGCCTCGGATCAGCCGCAGTTGGGCCCTTTAGTTTCAGTGCTAGGCCAATCGATTTGCCCATCATCTTCATCCTAGGATGCTGTGTTGGCTTTATGCAGCTTGTTCTTGCTCCTCTTTCGGCTTTGTACTCGAACGTCTTCGAAGTGACTGCTGCCATTCTTGTCTCCTTCCTTGCACGGGCCTTTGGCAGTATTCGACTCCCCGGGCACACTGATCCGATCTTCTGCTATGCCTCCATCACAGAATCCTCCATTGCGCTGATCCTCCCCGGGTTTTCGGTCCTCACGAGCAGCCTTGAACTCCAATCCCACCAGATCATCGCTGGTTCGATCCGTCTGGTCTATACCATTTTATACTCATTATTCCTCGGTTATGGAGTGACTGTGGGGACTACAATCTACGGGGCAATCGACTCCAATGCAACCAGGGACACCACTTGTGCAAGAGAGAGTGTTTGGGGCAGCTCTTACACCCAGCACTTCCCATTTGTCGCTGTCTATTGTCTGATTGCCGCGCTCATCAACCAGTCAACCCTCAAGAAAACTCCGATGATGGTTCTGATTGGCACAGCAGGCTATGTGACCAACTACTTCAGTACCCAAAAGCTGGGCTCCTCCTCCGAGGTTGCCAACACAGTCGGAGCGTTCACCATCGGGTTTCTTGCAAATCTCTATTCGAGGCTGTGGCATGGAAATGCCGTCAGCAGCACTATACCCGGTATCTTCACTCTAGTCCCATCCGGACTGGCGTCTTCGGGTTCGATCTTGTCAGCCATCGAATACTCGGACTCCGTCAAGAGTGGCAGGGCAGATACCTCAGGCAGCGCTTCCGGCAGCTCACTGACGAGTCTGGGATTCGGAATGATTCAGACGGCGATTGGCATTACTGTTGGATTGTTTCTTTCAGCGTTGATTGTTTATCCACATGGAAAGCGTAGGAGCGGCTTATTTTCATTGTAGAGTTGGATGGTGCTTTGTATAGATCTCCCGCCTCTTTTTCGTCTCCATGTTTCGTGCATCTCATCGGAGTTTGGTCCACTTAGACCGGTTAATAATTTATAATTTTGCAACCTCATCGCGGCAGTTGACGAGCTATTCAATCTACGAGAGGATCATTTCTTTCTTATACCATCCATTTGCAAAGTTTCTTGGGTATATCTAGTAGTGATGCAGTCAGATGCCTTGGACAAACCTAACACCATTCGAAGGTACAGAAAGCGTGCGACATCGATTGTCAAGACGGTCGGTGAACTTCATCAGTTAGAGCCTAAAGTAAATATCGCTGATTTCTTCACAGATGCGCCCTCGTGCTTGCTTCCACTACTACTACTAAACCAACAGTCCTAAAATCTCGGCTCAAAAACGGCCATCGTGAAGCCATTACCTTGAGCAACTGTGTACTGATGAACAACTTGGTAAATTCGGTTTTGAGGTATCCTAAACCTAGAGCTGCAAAGGGCGCCACCCATGTTATAAGCCCATTCATTTTGTCCCATGGCTAAGCCGGTAGCAATCACTCATGAAAACATCACCGTCCGTAACCAGTCTTGGTTATTACAAGAAACGCAAATTAAAACATCTCGTGGGCAACTTCAGCGCCTTGATCAAGCTCATCGGCTTGTTTGCGCAGCATCTCGGCCCGGAATTTCCGAAAGGCACTTTCAACCCTCTTCTTCCTCTCAGGGTCACCGAGCAAATCACGGCTACCACTCGACGCCCCCGCTAGGAACCCTAAAGCAGAAAGCATGGTCAATATATGCGGGAAATGATAACCAATGATAGGACGTGAGAGCCCCGGGCGAAGTCATACCGAGCTCACCCCCCAGGAACAGACCGCCAGCCGAGGCAAAGAAATACGTGGCGAAATCCCCCAGCGTTGTCGGTTTCAATAGAGGAGTGATGTCTGGAATAGATTCTTTGTCCTTTCAGCCAAGCTGTACACAGTGCATGTCAGTATACGGATTCCTTACCTGTCCGGCCGTCCGAGAAGACCACCTTGACAGGCTTCTCCTGGGCTCGAAAAACCTCGAAAAACGCCTTGCGCGAGCTCCGGAGGCGGAATGCTGCATAGAGTCCGAGGCCAATTCCAACAGCAGATCCAATGGTCATCCAGAGGGAAGCTTTCTTGGACGCAGACTTCAAAATATCCCGATCGTCGGCTTGCAAGTCATGCTGGATGTGGTAATCCGCCAGTTGGGCCAGCTCGTTGCTCCGGCGACTCCGGATTGCAGCAAATGATTCGGGCATTGTGAGTAGAAACTGATTTTGGTTTCCCACTGAGGCGGAGCAAGGGCAGATGATGAAGGATGAAGTTCTCCCATGTATCAAGTTGCAGCCTCCGAACATCCGTCGGTTTCCCGGCTAGAATACGACTGACGTCATGGAGGATCAGGCGCTAGCCCTACCCGTCGTGCCCTAATTTCCCTATCCGGACGGTTTCTATCATGTGATCCCCCTTTTGAGCACTGACCAATCAAAGCGCTAGACCGCAATTCCTCAGGCATTAATGTTCTCTTGCTCAGGCATAAATTGGCTTTATCGCCAGCGTCCACCGAGGTTAAGTATTGAATGGCCCCCGTAATTCAGGTAATTGAGACACTTTTCTCACTCCAACGCTGTCAGAACTTTTGTATATCTTGGTGCATATTTCGAATTTTGATTTTGTCCCCCTGAGTTTGGAACCATGATGGACCTCCTGAGCCTCCCGTCGGAGCTTCTGGGCCAAATCGTTTCTTTTGTTGCTGAGCCCGACGACGGCGACGACTGGGTTCCAGAGAAGATTAGGAGATTGGCCAACAAGGCCGATGATGATGATGATGATGATGATGATGATGATGATGACGAGTTCCACGACGTGGAAACCAGAGCCCTGTGCAACCTTTGTCTCTCCTGCCGCAAGCTGCGTGAACTAGCTCAGCCCCTTATATTCCGCGCCTTCGTCGACGAGGGCGATTTGAGCAGAACCCTTTTGCTCACTAAGAGTATTCACCGTCGTCCGAGCCTGGGAGAATATGTTCATTATGTTCGCATCATCCCGGCTCCGATATCCTTAAAGAAACCTTCCTCCCCCCACAATCTCGAATTCTTTCGGGATGCCGTTCGCAAACTGCAATTAGGCGATGAGGAGAAAGCCTGGTTTAAAGCGCTGGACGCAAACGATCTGAGCGTGTTTATAGCCCTCTTACTTAGCAAGACACCCTATATTCGACACCTGGCTGTTCCTGGCGGTCTGATCTACACAAACCCGCTGCAGCATATGTTCAGTGTAAACCCATCATTTCTCTCCAACCTCGAAACGCTATGGGTGGACAGTAATGAAGGGTTTTCCGGCTATTCCATATCAGCGTACGAGGAAATTCTGAATCTCCCTAAACTAAGACTACCGACCTTCGAATACGGGGACCTCGTCGGGGGACTTTTTCCTTCCAGCTGGGCGCCTGGCACACTAGCTGCAGAGGAACTAATGTTTATGTTCTGTTATATTGATCCAACCAGTATCATGAAGCTCATGCAGGCATGCAAAAATGTAAAGTCGTTTACTTACGCGAATTTCAGCCTTCTCCAAAGGGACAAGCCCAGGATGACAGGAATGCGCGAGTTCATTGCCACTGAGCTGCTTGAGGCTCTCCTCCCCCATAAGAATACCCTTGAATCTCTTCACATTGAATTTTGGCGGGAGCCGTGGGTGATCAAGAGTATCGAGGAATACCAGAACTACGTTTCCACTCGTGTCAAAGTCGGTCCCTTGCGCGACTTCACAGCACTGGAGACCATTGTCGTGCAACACGCTTTGCTCCCAACACATCCACAATTCCCAGCATCCTTGAAGCAACTGAGAATCACGGATTGCAACTCGTCCCTGCGGGAAATTGCCGCGAATATTGCAGCCGACTGTAAAAACGGACTCTACCCCAACCTGACCGAGGTGACGGTGGTCGCAATCGATGTTACTAGACCAATCAAGCTCCCCGGACAGCGTATCCCGCCCGGCAAAACCCCCGAGCAATGTTTTTTGAGCCTCAGAAATCTCTTCAGCGAAACCAAGGTTGAATTCCAGATCCTGTCATACAAGATACCTGATCTGGACGACGAGGACGACCTTCATCTAGATTCTGACGGTCCTGATTATGACGAGGAAGACTTCATCGGTGGGAGTGATGGTCCTGGATCGGGAATTATGCGGGATATACTTTTCGAGTTGGTCATGCAGCGGGCTCTGCGAGACCCAGACTTTGCCCACCTCCAGCAGTATGCCCACAGTGATAGGTCCTGGGAAACCTATGATGCTGATGATGATGACGATGATGACGAGTAACTTCACGGAGTGAACCCTCCGCCAAATAAATCTAGGGACTGATCAGCTTACCTTCTTGCATTAACGGCATAAGTGTTGGCTGGGCGTATATTTCGGGTTTAGAACTCAAATACTCGATCACAGGAACTAATTTACATTGTAAATATTAATTCCGAATTGGTACATTTGGTTTTCTGAAACTTTGAACTGCAACGGCCCGTACTTGAAGTATATTTTAAGCGTACACTTATAATCCACCACCCATACAGTGGTGTACAGCTGAGTATACGGAGTTAGCTGTAATTGACCCATTTCCCCGTTTTGATACGGACAACGCACGCAACTCCGACGCACCCATCTAGACTCCAACTCGAATGGGGATAGGCAAACTATGGTCCGTCCAGGCGATCCTTGTCTGAATTTTAGCGTCGGCTGGTTTCCGAAGCTCAACGATGGGGGCAAGAGGTGAAGATACGCGCCAAATTAGGTAGACCGTACGGAACGGTGGTATATTAACCAGAGCCCTGGAAACTCTTCAGCCCTGTGTTAAAAGCCGGACGCTTTTGACAAGGTATTGTGTATTAGAGATTTAGAACTCCTAAGCGAAGGCATGCGCTCCCCGTGGTCTGTGGCCCGGCGAAGATACAGACAGACTACTCTGGACAATGGGTCCGTTTTCGCCTGATTAGAATCAATGTTCAATCTTTGATTTAAAGGCTATATATCATATTGCTTTATCGCACGGGAATGAGCTGAGTGATATGGCCTGTACTGGCGCTATTCTATAACCCTGAAATCAAATAAAGTACAAAAAAGTGACCGCTTCCAGTGCCGTGTGTCTTCCATGTAACCATACGCCAATGCCATTAGATTCAAAATTATACCAATGGGTAAGAAGGACCTGAGTCTGGCTGAAGCTCCATTCCTACTAATGGCCCTGGTGCAAGTCCTAGGGCGTTCGCGTTGGGCCCGACCCCCTCTGGAAGTTTTACTATTACTAGCTGGGCCTTGTTCCAAACGTCCAGTTTCGTTTGGAGGCCGTTAACCTGTATTTGAAGCCGAGTGGCCTCTTGCTTCAAGGCTTCGTAGGATTCCGATAGTTGAATGTGGTTTCTATTCATTTCCTCGATGTGGTTCAGGAGAGCCTGGATGTATTGTTCCTTGCGTTCACGATACGCTCGTTGAGCGTTCCGATTTTGTTCTCTTCGTTTCTGAATAGGATAGTTAGTAATGAATGAATGTAAATTTCTTGAGCCGGTGTTCTTCCAATACCTTGCTTCTATCACCAACGTTTCCTTCGATGGTAGTTCGGGGCTTTAGCGTAGGGACTGGGCGAGATAGTGAACTACTTTTCGCGGACGGCTTAAGGCCCTGAGCTTCAGAGCTGCATTCTGTGCTGCATTCTGTTAATTGTTCGCGCCAGTCGCTGTCCGAATATTCTACTGATGTATGTTCATCGCTAGTTGTGCTGGGACTTTGCGAACTCTTAGGACTTTGATCCCAGTGCGATAACGATGTCTTCTAACATTAATTAACAAAATTCTGTCCTAGAGGAACGAAATCCGCCCATCATAAGACTTACCTCTAAATTGGATGGGTCGGGGAAATAGCTTTGCCATCGTTCTTTATCCTCAAGGTCGATTGCTCCGGGGGAATATGGGACGTCGGTATAGGATGGCACCATCTGATTCCACTCAACATTCATTTTCAATTCTTCCGCGGCAACAATAACGGGGAAAGAATCTTGGGGGTTCTGGAAGATTTAAGTTAGAGCACCAGTCGCATCCTTATGTATATATGCTCAGCTCGCCTTAAATCCGCGTTCCAGAATATCATTTCAACTCTATCGCGGATCCTGAGCCAGTGGGCCAACGAACCCTTAGACTACGACGGAAAAGGCAATGTGTGGCGTTCGAACTGCTGCAGATTGGTGCATTTTGGGGATTTGGCTTCCAGGCGCATTGCCCTTTTATTGCCCTAGCGGACAAGCCCGCTTGTACCAGCATCTGGTCAGCTTATCGTACGGAATTCTTCAGTAAACCAACAGTATGGGTCCACGATGAGAACACTGCATTTGATGCTTGGCCCTGTCATCTGAAAGCCAATTACTCCCATGAAAATACATGGAAATCTCAAAAAGATGTTAAAGATGCGGTTTGCTATTCTCTGGGAAATACGGTATAAGATGAAAAAGCGGCCCTCACGATGATAATATATTGGCCTCGACGACTCAGATTTTGTTTCTGTTCAAACGTGGGGGATCAGTAGAAGGCTTCCTGCACAATAGTGGCCGCAGAGGGATAATAAGACCCTACCTAATCTCAACTCTCTGAAGTCGAGCCAATCGATATGATACATAAGCGACAGGCTCGATGAAAGATCGAACGTTTAAATGGACCCCGAGGCAGATAGAGTTGGGCGGCAGGACGGTAAACGCATTAGCTCCATGTGTACGGCGAAATTCTACCAACTGGTCGGGGACGGGAGGTCGGGAAATGTGGAGGGGCAATAGCGGGACATTGCAGGGTTTCTATATTTATTTTTGAATCGTTTACTCCGCTTGGCTTGACATATTGTGACTGAATAGAGCTCCCGGTTCTATAGAGGCGGCAGGTGTCAATAATCATGGCATTCAGGGTGAACGGACATATCAACCATTTCATTTTGAATAACTAGAAATCGCAGAGAGTCCGCGAATCTAAGATAGAATGAAATACCGGCCGTGGTCCGCGAATCATTGTATCTGATATCGTGGCTTGTCTTGCTATGGACGGTCCCGTGGAATATGTCTCGGGTTTCACCTACCTTAGCATTAGAACGTCACTTCCCACACTAATCCGCTAGTGCGAAGAACTATAATTACACTGTGGAATACGGAGTACTGGAGGTGCGACAAATTCCAGCGTCATGCACAGTCGCCAGCACTTTCCTGAAAAAGGGAAATGACCAACGGCATGGGTGCACTTCCCAAGTCCATCGTTGGAGTCGGAAATATCCTCCTCTAGAAGTCAGCCATGACCCGCCCTGGCTGAAACCCAAACAGGTTGGGCCGGGGATCATTTCATGGGTTTTGACCGTTGTGGAGAACCCTCTCGGGCTTCCAGAGTTGGGATGGCCAGACGGGAATGGTTGCTAAGCCGCTAACTAGTTAATTCTGGGGGTCGACTAGGTCTGACTTGGTCCGTTTAGAGCGAACCTTTGTAGCAAAGAAGCATGGCTACTGTGCAGCATCAGATCTTGCTGGTTTGGAGGAAGATCTGCCTGCTATTTATAATCCTAGCCGCACTTTCATGCCAGGCAATAAATACTCTTGAAAGGCCAAGGAATGGTTCGATAATAATTGTATTAGAGCTAGTATAGACTTCAATATCAATTTACTCTTCTGTGGAATTTTTTGGGAATTTTCGAATAGCTCTTAGTTGCAATATATATATATATATATTGGGTGGGTGGTTGAACATGGTAGGGTTGCCCGGACACCCATATCCACAGACTTTTTGCCTGGTAGTATATATTTCCCATGTGTATTCGAATTAGGGCTGCCCAAACGGTTCTCGGTAGGCCCTCAGAAGCTATTAAGGCACTTATCCTGTTCTTATATTTACTTGCTCGTCGAGCGTTCTATGATTCTACAGCCAGGATACAACAGACCGTAGTAGAACCGATCTCGTTCCTATCATCCTTAAACAGTCCATCAACGAAATTACATGATACTTAGTGGCAGATACTATTAATATTGGTCAAGTCGCAATCACACAATAAAGGGAAGGAATATGCAAACCAGAGGTCAAACTAGCTAATTAATACATCGACGCAAGGGCTACTTCTCACCACCTGGTGCAGGAACCTAAGACCGCAATATAAAGGTACGCAATTGCGTGTCTCGCTAATTCACCACACCTCTTACAATAAAATTGAAAATCAACCATGCGCTCCCAACTGTCTAAAGTACTCTGAGTGATACCTCTTGCCTGATATCCCTAGAACTAAACCCCACGCCCACGCTGTGATTGCCTTTCGGGAGTCGCCAACCCTGAGCTCCAGTATCCCAGTAACTCAAATCTCGTCTCAACAGTGACAATGAGACTGCCTTGAGTTCCCCAGGCTTCAGAGTTAGTTTCTCGAAGCCCCGAAGAACTTTCACGGGCGTTCCATCCGGGGCTGTATCCCGAGGTAGTGAAATGTAGAGTTGAACTACGGTGGCGCCTTCAACATCCCCAGAATTCCGCACAGTAACGGTCAGGTTGAACAGAGGGTCCCAGAGATGCGGGTTTCCACCTGGGGGCAAGGTTTCCACCGCAGGAGGGAACTGACTCAAAAGTGAAGATCCTGGCTGGACCTGCGGCGCCGAGGTGATTTCAAAGGTGCTATAGCCCAGTCCATAACCGAATTCATATAGTGGAGTGATGTTATTCGCATCGAAATGGCGGTGATCGATCATAAGCCCTTCAGTAAAATTTGACTGCCATGCGGAGGAGTCAACTGCCTCCGGTCCTGTAATATTCGTGATCCTGGTATTATAATCCGCCTCACTGCGTGCAATAGTATATGGGAGCCGGCCGGATGGCTCCAGGTCACCATACAAGATATCCACAATGGAATTCCCTGCCTCTTGTCCAGGATAATGGGCTGCAAGAATAGCGGAAACGTTCGGGTTCGTGGCCCAGGGCATGGTGTTCAGACCCCCGGAATGAGTAACAACAACCGTCTTCCCGGGACAGTACGAGGCAACCTGTTCCACAACCGCACTGGAATTCCAATCTGCCTCGTAGCTAAGACGGTCAAAGCCTTCTTGGGCCCAGGTCTTGAGGAAAACTAGACAGACATCCGGAGCAGGGTATATCCCAGTCAACACCCCATTGGATACTTGATAATTGTCGGTAATATACGCCAGTCGTGTTCCCAATTTTTCGGCACGTATCTTGAGCGCTTCGAGTGGCGAGGAGATATAGCTAAGCTGACCGGCTCCCGATCCGCCGCCCACGGCTAAGGTCCCTATCTGTACTTGAGAACCTCCTCTCAAGAAGGGCGCAAGTCCGCCTGAGACGTCAGCGGCATCGTTACCGAAGACAGCGATTGCCTTTGGTGCTTTGAGTGGAAGCGTGGAATTCACATTCTTCAGTAGCACAGTTCCTGCTGCCGCAAGCTTTCTGATCAAAATTGCATGATCCCCTCTGACATCACGAGCTGCTGGAACTGGGGTGTCTGGGGAACCCCCCAGTAAGGGGAGGTAGGACATTGGCAGATCATTGGCAGCTAACATGATATACAGGGTTGACGGATCAACAGTGGGGAAATCTTCGTCCTGATGAAGATAGAAATATGGTGTCAAAATTCGCCGCACCATATCATCAATTCGATCAGATGAGACGGTTCCATTCTGTACGTAGTTGACCAGATTGTGTCCGAAGTAATCTCCGGTCGAGTCTGAAAGATTGAGGGGGCCCGGCTGTGTCATGTCTAGGCCTGCGTTGATGGATTTCGCTCCCGAATGGGTCGCGAACCAATCAGACATGACATAGCCGTCGAACCCTAGCTCATTCTTCAAGATATCATTCAAAATGCCTGGGTGCTCACATGCGTAGGTTCCGTTTAGTCGGTTATAGCTGCACATGATGGAGGCTGTGCCCGCTCTCACCGCGTCCGCGAATGGCCAAAGGTATAGTTCGTGTAGGGTTCGGTCATCCATATTGATTGACACAGCCTCAACATTTTCCCCGTCAATCACAGTATTTGACCGCTGTGTCTCCTGTTCGTTCCCAATATAGTGTTTCGTGCATGCCTGCACACCCTTGGCTTGAATGCCTCGTACGGTGAGCGCAGTCGCGACACCAGATAGATACGGATCCGGTCCAAATCCTTCCCAGTTTCGGCCACCAAGTGGGTTTCTTCCGAGAGGCCCAGGAACAGGACTAAGCTATGTCAGTTGACAGTTCTTGATAACAGTGGAATAGATACCCCACTGCTATGGGAGACAAGCATTTCCATACCCGAGCAGAACGTGACTCCCTTTAGCACGAAACTCTTCGGCCAGGGCCCGTCCTCGATCGTAAATGAGGTCCTTGTCCCAACTTGCCCCTACTGTCAAGCCTGCAGGGAACACACTTGCTAAATCGGCCAAACGGACGCCCACAGGGCCGTCTTGAATACAAACGCCCCCAAAATTGAGGCGTGGGATCGCGGCAATATTGCCACTACAGACACCACCATACAGTGTGCCAGTGACGATTATGGACTTCTCCGTAACGTTCATTTTCGCAATGAGAGCTTCAGCTTTATGCCTGGCCGCGAGCCATTCAGCCTGGTCAATTCCTGGGCCTGATTTAGGGCGATTAGTACTAAGTGATAACCTCAAATCAACGTTGGACAAAGATGGTTTCACACACCGGTTGGAACACTTGCAGAGTAGGCGTGCGGGACTAGAAGCACACTGCAATACGCAATATAAGCCCAATACGCCATGGCTTTAGTAATTCCGGAAGGATAAAGCATCATGGCCTTTAGCTTTAGCTTTTGAATAGCACAGAGGCACAGAGCTCTAATAACATGCATACATCCTCATTCTTATACCTCCAAGCCTGGAGCATCTTGTCTGCTGATCAGCCAACTTTCAATCTTCAGCCTAATGTCAGTAGATTATTCAAGAAAACAACGCAATCCTGGAAATATCCACATATCACCTCATCGTCAAATAATCCCAGATGGTATGCGAGGCAAACATTCTCTTCTGCATCCGTATTCGTATATATCTTTCCTTAAGGAGCAATAATCATACATATAGGGCAAATTTACTCTGAACCTGTTCTGAGTTCGCGCAAATCTGCACTGAACGGTGGGGTCTGGCTAGTTCGAATTCTTCCATGCATATTAAATATATATCTACGGAGTATACACTGCATATAACTGCATGCTTTAATACTTCTACGCTGCATTACTGCCTGGTAGCATCCTGTGCCTGCATTATATCAATTAGATTCTTTAGAAAGGTCTCTGGGACTGCATCCCTAAGATTATCATAAGAACTCTCTTGAATCTAGCTTTTTATCCCATTCGATACAGCCTCTCTCTACTGCAATAGGATCCGGAGAGAAAGCAGGCTAAAAATTTAGATAGATAGTTACCACGCTCATGCAGCTCTTTAATAACCTCCGTGACCAGGTGCTGTATCCTGCATTAGCTGATCCTAGCTATCCTGTTGCCGTAGAAGCCAAAGATAGCCATTAATGACAGAAATAATCTTTTATAACTAGTTTTTTTTCAAAACAAAATTAACAGTTCCGTATCCGTTCTCCTTAAAAACGCAAGGACCTTTATTTTGGCCATGAAAAGTGGCCTAGAACACCATCTATCTATATCTTCCAGGGCGAGACGTATGAAGGCAGGTCTTTAGCTAGTACTTTTCCTGCCTTTCTCGTAATCCAGATTCTGGTATGATAGCCTTGCCATAAGCAAGGTAGCAAGTTGCTTCAAGAAGATAATAAAGTTAATACTGTTATTAACATCTTCCTCAAAAAGCTTTGGAGTCTGGCTACAGGCCTCTTTACGAGTTGCCCGACTGCGGGAATAGGTATATTGAACTTGATAGTGGGTGATCCCTAGCAGTGCAGGAATCTGCTGATAGGTGAAACCTACATCTTGAACGGCCATGTCAAGTAACGCAAGTGGAATTTCGAGAGGCCTTTGGAAGGCGAGATATCGCCATGCCCGAGATCATTTGAATCAGTTCTATTTCATTGCGCCCACCGTACTAGGGAAATCACCAGAACCAAGGGAGGGGCGAAGAATCTATTATTGACTGTACGGAGTATCGTTTAGTGAGATGAATAGTAAACTGCGGTTGAATGAAGGTCCGATTCTTCTGTCGAACTGTGGATACGGCTTCGGGATCTAGCCATAAGCCTGGTCAACCCATCATCATTTTTCTCTTTCTTATATTAGTTAGATTGTACTCCTTTTTCTCTATCTTACCCCTGTCTTACCCCTATTCTGATCTGGATATCGCTATATTTCACCGCAGTTTTTACTAGGATTAGGAGAATCAGAGCTTCATCCCAGAAGGGTAGATTCCGAGGCATTTCACTAAGCGATCCATTCGACATCTTAACCAGATCCTAGTGGGTGCGTCAATGATGGTGCCCTATCTTGGTCCTTTTCATATTAAAGTACCCCACGCGATACAATTTTTCATAGCAGATCCGACACATATTGAAGGAAGGCTTAGTGGTATGATTGAAGCGCAGCTGCCTGCCCTGAAGAAACAACCGACCCCGCTTTCTATACGATTAATTTCAGTATCCGACGCGGAGTATATACACTCAATGAATCACCTTATTTGTCAACACGCCACTGCTGGGATTGGCAAAATGCAGGAGCAGTCGAACATGTTCACGCTACGCCAGCTCCCAAGGACTCGAGACCCGGCAAATACTCAATGCAATACTAGAGTTTGAAGGGCTAGGGGAGAAGCTTGCCATGGACGTATTCCTTGCAATGGGACCTTCTTCAATCTCTCCTAGTGCGAAATGAGATACCGTAAATGGAACGATTAAAACATCTATATTATGCTGTAACTGCTTCTCTGCCTGGCGTTTATTTATACCCTGCTAGGACAAAGATATCCTAGTATGCCCCCACGAAGTCAAAGCCTGCAGATGACCCAAAATTAGCCTTGATGACCGGATGCAACTTCCTCGTTCCATGGTCTGGGAGGCAAACGTCAAATGCGACAAGGTGTTGCATCAGGATTGAGCTTCCATATGGCATGTCGTTGGGTGTTTACAAAGGGGTATAATCAATCTGTCTAGTTTGGAACCAGAGGATGCCTCGCCACACTGGGAAAATAACTCGAACAGGGGGGATGATAATACAGAAAGCAGGTCACGCGATGGAATTCTGAATCGAACTGAGGCTGGAAAGTTAGGTAGCACCAGCAGCAGCAAAGGTCGAGCGTATGTGTCGTTTTCACCATAGCCTTTCCTTGCCTGCCACGCCTCCGAGCATGGTTCAGGGATCGAGTAGAGAAGGACACTTTACCGGGCCCGACGCTTACTGCAAAGCCAGAAGAGCTACCGTCTGAAATATAATTCGGCCCAGAAACGCATCGGGGTGCGTAAGGGGAACAATGCAAAAAAAAAAAGAGATCCACTAGGCGGGTTTCACGAGGGGTTACAGCACGCTCAACTTGATCCAAGAGGTTAATCCCTTCTGGACGCACAGGAGTTCCTGAATGCTTCCCGAGGAAGAAACTCTGCGCGAAGGGAAGGTGTGTTCACCCCTATAATCGAACTCACAGTAATCCAGTAGAAATGGAGCCTGTGGGCCGGAGAGACCGTTGTATCTCGAAAATTGTTTTTCTTTTTTTTTTTTTTTAACAAAGACAGACAGTTGCACGGCATCCTAATCCTCCATAATATCCACTCTTCTTATTAACGGTCCGTTGGTTCTAAACATAATCAGCGATCATATTTCGCAAGACTACAGCCCAAGGAAAGGCTAAGAAAGAAAAGATAGGCATGTGGTTTCCCCTCATGGTAGCTTCCGACAATGCATCGTGGCAGGCTGTCTTTGGCTGCCTGCAAGATCTTTCGGGCAGCGGTCCATAAACGTACAGCCCTCAGTGCCACACAACCGACACAGGACATACGGTCTGCTGCGGAAGCTGACAAGTCATTGGGAATGTTCAGCTAGGAAGGGAAAATTGGCGGATATACTGCGTGGTTGTGGTAGAACCGGCGTATTGGGAATATCCAATCAAGAAGGTAACTTTGGATCATAGATGTTGCGTGACGACGACCACCCGCGAACACGATCACCACGGCTATGAGTGCTGTCTATTTGTTGGGAATCAGAACAATAGCGATAGATGCAGATTTTGCTCAAGATTTTCTCTTTGGTTACATTGTCCAGAGCCTTGTTTTTCTCGAGAAGACGCAGCGGTACAGCAACGATAACACTTTCAACAATACAGTTAAATCTAGGATACGCCTTTTTTTTTATATAAAACATTTACAATGTACGCGAGCTTGATACTGAATCCAATTTTGCTTTTCCTCCGGCGCCGCAACAGTTGCATGCGTGGATTAGGTGTTGGTGATTTCCTTTACAGCTCTAAGTATATCTTCCGGCGAAAGGCCTTGGGCGTTGACTTGCTCATAGAGACCACCACATCCCTCTTTACAAGCACCCATTGAGCGGTATCGAGGAGCCAGCCTGCGCTCAAGAAGGTAGCTGCCGAGTCGAGAACCAAGGCCCGTCTTTTGAGCCAGCGGCTCGATAACGATCACAAACGGACATGCGCCATAGATCTTCATGGCGTCCTCATCCATCACATTCAGGGTTGGCTTATTCACTAGACCGATATCTTGACCATCCTTCCGCAGTCGTTCAACCGCATCTAGGGAGCGGTAGAGCATATCGCCGTATGAAATAATGTATCCAGCGGAACCGTGACGAATGAACTCGTCCTTACCAGGCGTAAATGTGTAATCACCGCCGAAGAGATGTTCCTCAGACGACTCTTTGAGAATATAAGGGACCTTGGAGCGAGTAGAAAAGATGAATCGTAGTCCCTTGGTAAAAAATATCCGTTTAACGACAGCTTTCATCTGATCCCCATCCGCTGGGAAATACAGACTATTACTCTCCGCATCCATCAACCCATTGTCAGCGAAAAAGTTATTCAGACCAAAATGACATGTATTGTCAGCAATCTCGTCAACTCCGCTATGGGAGAAGTGGGAGAGTACGCTGCACTTGTTCAAACGAGCCATCGTGATCTCGGAAATGCACATTTCCAAGAAAGCTGAAAAGGTAGAGAAGACACCTTGACGCTCGCCGTTACTGCCGAATGAGAAGCCTGCAGCAGCAGAGAAGTTCCCCCGTTCCATCACACCGGAAGGAACAAACACCTCCGGATGCGTCGCATGGATTCCCTTGAGGCCGGTGGAGCCCTCCAGATCAGAATCGATAACCATGACCCGACGCACCGCCTCCTCCGTGCTGAGACCATCTAGGACTGAGTTGACGGCCTCTCCAAAGATGACACGATTAGCACCTTTTTCCTTTGTTGAACCGATGTACTGGTGAGGATTGGAGGATGCCTTTAGTTCGTCATAGAACGCGAGCTGCTGGTGAGTATAACCACGCTTCGTTAGGTACTTGCGCGCATAGTCAACGGGGATAGCATCATGAGCCTTAATAGCACCCTCAATTTCTTTGATCCCGGGCGCCATTTTCCGGCAAACTACCGCAGCGGCTGGTCCACTGTGGTTGATAACCTCGCACATGGCTCCATATAACGAATCCAAGTTTTCTCCCTCAGCGCGAACAACCTTCAATCCATGGCCGGCCAGGGTGTGCTCTAGGTTATAGCCTGGAAGATACTGCGAAGGGTGCCCGGCAATAGTTACATCGTTGTTATCAATGAATAACTTGACATTCAGTTGGTTGGCAACGGCTATGCGGGCCGCTTCCGCATCGTTTCCTTCCTGCTGAGATCCATCCGAGCCCAGCATGACGACATGCTTCTTTCTGTTGGCCATGGCAATGCCGTTCACCATTCCCCACATATGGCCTAGCCGACCCGAGCTGAATTTGACTCCAGGGGTAAGACCAAGTTCAGGGTGGCCGGGGAGTTTGGAATTCGCCTCGCGATAGTTGAGGAGGTGATCGGGATGAATCTTGCCATCGAGAGCGGCGAGAAGGTACTGCGTGGCCACTCGATGTCCCGCCTCATCATAAATAGTGTCGACGAAAGCGTCTGGGTTCCCATTGATGACGGCTAGCAATATACAAACTTCCGGTGCGGTGTCGAAAGGACCTCCCGTGTGACCAGCAAGTCCGCGAGCGGAACCTGTAGCTGTGAAGGCGACGATTGCATCTCGGAAAATATTAATATTGTGCAGTAGATCTTGCCGCTGGTGGTCTGATAGTTTTGGCTTATTCGGGTCGAGCTTAAGCTTCTTGAATTGCCCAAGGTCGACAGGTAGGTGGTAGGCCACCATCTTTCTCAATTGGGATTTTCTATGAACTAGAGCAGAGAGACTATGAGGGATGCTGAAAGAAGATGTAACATTGAGAGGGAAAAGCGCATCCTCATAAACCAGGGAAAGATGGTGGATTAACTCGGGTATGATATCATTCTGGGAAATGATATCATGGGTTTTGCATTCTTGTGGAACGCAGTTGCAGTGTTCGTAGCTTAGTTGGTTATTCCTAGAGTCCAGGTATGCAGCTGTGGGAGACCAGACATCTCAGAAACCAATCAAATACTGTATGAATTCATAAGTCCTTCTCAATTTCAGACATACAGGGATAAGTCCCGTCCCAGCATTGTGTGATAGCATGATGGAATCAAAGGTTTTCCATGTTAGGGTATTCTCTTGTAGTAAAGCGTCGTTCAGCTGCTCTCAACACTTGGAATCTCTCCATTGTTCCGCAGAGCTCGTCTTAAGGCGTGGCCCTACTCACACCAGTATCTAGGTACTCTCCGACTAGCTGCTTGGACTGAATTCATGGTGAAAAGTTGCATCTCTGCAGATATATATTGCTGATGGTTACCGTGTAGATTACCTGATAGGACATATCTAGTGCAGAGGGATATTGCTCCCAATATTGGGAAATCAGAGACAATAGGCTTCTTGAGTTATCTAGTTGTGACCTGGCTTGCATCGCTAACTCAATTGTTTTTAAGCCGCGTGTCTCAATCATGCGTAGCCTCTAGTTAACAGCCACCGAATGTGCCGTGAGTGGGGGTAAAAAACCATATGGGGTATAAAATATATGTCTACACTGTACGTGGTCTAAAGATCCCAGATTCACCTGGTAATTCACGTAATTGATTTAAGTAAACCTTGCAGGCCACGGTTAAAAAGAATATAATTATGCGATGCTTCTAGGAATAAGACGACAATAGATGGAATATCTTGTTTGTCACATTCAAGAGATACTCAATCTGATTAGGAGGTAATGAATATAAAAAAGGTAAGGAATAATCCATGAATTTGGAAAGCAAAACCATCTTCAAATAGCTTCATTTTACTAATGATTAGGACCCCAGCAAGTACCGCAAATTCCAGGGGTAGGCACCTCTTTTCCTGTAGGGTTGTAGTTCAATGATAGTATTAAATCTCCCCCTCTTGTTAGTAAGGGTATGTTCCAACGTGCACATCTAAAATTTTAAAACTTAAACAGGTATGATGAATATAGATTGATTAGTTGAATTTTAGAGACTTATTTGACACTGTCAGCAATGCCCTGTAAGCAAAGAAACTAGCGGGTCAGCATCCGCAGCGGCCAAGGAGAGGGTTCCCGTTGTAAGCCACGGAGTCATCATCAACATAGCATGTCCGACTATATCCGGATATTGAATTTTCTATACTTTGGTACCACGAAGGGTGCAAATACATCGTCCAGGATATAAAGGCAGAAGGCTAGACTGCTTGCTGTACAACCTACACAGCCTAAGAGAATTCGATATCGTGCCTTGGAGCCAACTCCCTTTTATACTGTTTATATTCTGATACTGGATTATGGTTCTACTGGCATTGAAAGCACCATGAAACAAGACGTGAGCTTTGACAGTCAAGGTCTGAGGATAGTCGGCCATCTTTATACTCCAGAGAAGTCAACTTCCGAACAGCGCCTTCCAGCGATTGTGATTAGCAATCCCGCCGGCGGCGTGAAAGAGCAAACGGCCGGTATATATGCTCGTTATCTAAGTGAGGCAGGATTCATAACCCTCGCTTACGACTCTGCATACAATGGCGAAAGTGAAGGCACTCCTCGGGGCCTGGAAGATCCAGCACATCGTATCGAGGATATAAAAAATGCGGTGACAATGCTGAGCTTGCATGATAGAGTGGACCGAGAGCGGATCGGACTCCTTGGGATATGTGCTTCGGGAGGATATACAGTCGTCGCGACGGCAACGGATATGAGAATCAAAGCTGTCGCAACTGTCAGTGGCGTTGATACGGGTGTCTTCTTCCGCGAAGGGTATGATGGAAGGCAAGACCCGTCGGTTTTGAAGGCGATGCTGGAAAACGCTGCAAGAGCACGGACTGAGGCCGCTGTAACTGGCGGTGAAATTGGTGGCTTTCCTATACACCCACCCAACGAACCTGCCGCTCGCGAGCTCGGCGAATATCATTTTGAAGGTTGGGAATATTATATGACTCCCCGAGCTTCTCACCCACGCTCAAGCAAAACCATGCCGTGGAACAGCGTGGACAAGCTCGCTGGCTTTAACAGCTTCAGTTTCCTCGGCGCCATCTCACCTCGCCCTATTTTATTTATCGTGGGGACGAAAGCAGCCACAAAGTGGATAGCTGAGCGCGGAATGAAAGACGCAAGCAATCCAAAGGAGCTTTACTGGATCGAGGGTGCGTCGCATGTTGATCTTTACGACAAGGAGGAATATGTCCCTCTTGCAGTCAGGCGTCTCTCTAGTTATTTTGATCAGTGGCTGTAGGTTAAATTCACGGACCTAAATAAAGTGAATCGCATCTACCTCTCACATATGCTGTGATAAACGAATACGGCCGGTGGATTATTCAATGTCATGACTTGAAATAAATATAGCCTGTCTTGCTTTCTTGTTATTTCTTGTGTAACATAAAGAAATAGTAATAGAAATATTCTATGACTTCTTACAAATGTCTGGTGCCTTATAACTAAGTGTGCTGCTTTTTCATGAGTAAAGAAAGGTAGATGGAAGTCATATATCACTTGGGGGCTGCTGGTATGTTGGAGCCAAACAGCCTTCAGAGGGAGCATTTGCCGCCATAATGGCGATACAATTTAAGTCGGAATGATATCTAATCGAGAATTAACAAGATCCCCCAAAAATCAACAGAATCAACACCATAAATCGACTTCTGAAGGTCTGCATCTGCAAATCCTGTTATTGATTGGTTCACTATCTGAGATACGGGTTACGTAATCGACGGACATTAGTTAATCCGCTCCGGCGAGATCCTTGGATGCATTACGTCAGCAGCCTCTAACACGTCACGGGTCATGACTGTCGGGCTGTCGGATTTACGATTATTCCTTTCGGGGTCGGCCGCTAACTCCGGTAAAGGCCGATTCCTTGTTAGCGCCAGGGGCATGTGAACAGGCAGAAATTTCTTACTCCGTACGATCCAATAGAGCCAACGCCTCGGTGATCTACTAGATAACAATGTCTAGATCTACTGGTACCAACTTCCTGAACTGATTTGTCCTATTGGATCCAGAGGTATTCGAATACTCTAATACCATACGCCCCGGTTTGGCTTACTTCCTGTCCTGGTTCTGGTTCTAGAAGGCCCTGCTCTTGCTCACATCTAACCTCCGTGGCTGTTTCTGTACGACGACGATACATTCCAGCTTTGGAACACCCGAATGGAAGAATTAGGATCCGCGCCATCCTTCCAGCTCCAGTCACCGGAGCCTTCCCCCAAGCTGTGGACAGAAGCTGCACTGGTCTGTCGGTCAGAAGAGACCTCGTCAGGGCCCCCTTCCCGGTTGAAATCGAGATCGGTGAGCTGCGTGTGGCTGGACTGGTTGCCAAATGGGAGGCGTGAAGGTCGCGATGATTCGAGCCTTGCTGAGGCTGAGTTGTATTGCAAGGGACCAGTGACTTGACTTCCGGTGATCTTGGAAATGAGCGGTCGTAGGGTTGCTAGACTTCCCGCCAAGATTGAGAGCCCGGTTTCAATGTTCGACCAGATAGCGATTTGGACGGTGGCATCTGAAAAGTTGCAACCGTGGGGTTAGACCAAGGATATGAAAAGAACAAGTCCGAGACAGGTACTTACAAAGGAAGTCGGGGCTCGAGATTGTCTCGACAAATGGAATTCGGACAATCACAGCAACACTAGCGCTGTAAGGGGTTAGCATTGAGAGGAAGGACTGGCTAGTTCAAAGGAACAGTAAAAAAAAGAGGATCTTACATGCATGCCATCCCTAGAAGACACACGGCGCTAATCTTCGTCTCGAGGCTCATTTGCAACTTGCGGACCACAAAGATCGGCAACAATGCAACGGTAAAATCAAAACACGCAGATGATGCACTAAAGAGATAAAGCATCACCTTGATGGCTGTTACATACCCACATGAGCCCATCCCAGCTGACTCGGCTTCGAGCCGAGTCCAGAAGTACGATACTGGGGAGCACTGGATAAGACACAGGATGAAGAAGACAAATCCGACTATCACGGTCAAACTGACGACTATGTATATCACCGCGCGGTGGATTGGGTCGACCAAGACTCGGAGTAGAAGCAGGGACACGGAGACCTTGCTCAGGATGGATGCGATTGCATAAGAAATGTCGCAGAGAAACCAGTACTGCGTTCACGTTAGTGGCAACGGCGTGGATTGTGAGATGATAATGCAGGAGGGAGGAAGGATAGATATTTGGACATACCTTTATTGCAACCATAGCCTGGTGTTCAGTGAGCGAGGTAAGATGCTTGCCCGTGCCCCAGAGACTGCCTCCTATCATACAAGCAGAGAACATGATATAAAATGCCTGAAAGTGGAATTAGTGAATGATGGATGCGATACTTGACTCGCCGCGAGGGAAACCAACTGTTGCCAACACCATTATCCCATCGTCCCAGCCAAAGGCCTTGACAACATGAACTCGGACATAGCAGCGAAGGAGGACTGCACTACAGGCCAAGGACAAGAAGACGGCAGCGACTGTGCGGACAGCGAGGCTGCGATCAACCACCATGAGAACAAAGCCTTCGGCAGAGACGCACAAACTGAGATGGTTATTGACCTAGAGTACGCAGTGTGACAAACTCCATCTTCAGCAGGGAGGAATTCAGCCCAGGCATAGAGAAGGGACCAAAACCAGAGAAATTTGACGACCGTCTGCGATCGCACAAAGTGGCAAGATCTGGACGACAGGCTTCGCGCGTGGATACACCGATTGGCCGTACCGTGCTATCCGGGAACCACCTACCAGGTACCTGGGTGGAGTAGTAAGTTCTATAACCGAAAACTCGGTAATTACAGACGAAGCCCATTGCCAGGTCCTGATCCTAGAGGGTTCTTTCTACCACGTGGAACGCAAGTTGGTCGCACGATCCTAATTTAAAATCCCCTGGAAACCTGGTGGTCATGGCTTCTGGTTGGAAGTACAACCGATGACAGGCCGTACAGCGCCCTGGCTAACTGAAAAGAGTTAACAGGTACTATTTACGGGAGACCCTTAGGACAAATCAGCAACGACAAAGTTTTCATGTACGCACTAGCAGATAATAACTATTAAATAGCTTGCTTAGTTTTCTACCTATCTACGGAGTCGGAACTTGGAAGTCCTAGTAACAGAACACTAGCAGAATATTCTTTGCATGAGCTTAGTCCAAGATCAAAGCAAGCTATTATTATTAATATATAATAATATATATGATTAATTACTAGATTCTACAACTAAGCTACCCCTTAGGGTTATCGAATATCTATAACATGTACTACTTATATGACCTAAATAAACTGCATAGAACTCACAGTCTTATCCGCCTGGGAGCTCTACATGAGGGACATCGTGCCATTTGGAGGATATTTAGGCAGCGACAAGGCCCCTGTATATCTAGTTTTTCTTTCTCCCCTCTTTAGTCTTGTTAGTCTTGTCAAATTGTACTAGTTTGTTTACAGTATCCCTCTAGCAGTCTCACACCTACTAGTACGCGGCAGAATATATTGATGGGCGTCAAATTCTGATGACGACATGCAAATTCTATTGGTATGAAGATGCCTAAGAAACATGAAGTCGTAGAACGAATTGACGAATTAAATACTGTGGGCTATGTGTCGCTAGACAGCGTTTGGATGGTTGGAAGTGAATGGAATAGGCAGGATGTAGGCGTCAACACCTCAACATATATTCCCATGATGGTGCTCCTCCCGCCTCTTGTAACAGCTGTAATCAACCCTAATGCCCCTCGTGAATACCAATTATGAGTGTTGAATACAACTGAGGATAATGAGTATACAGGACTTGGTAGACTAAAAATGAAAAAGGGACACCACAACAGATAACAATGCGGTCATGTTTACAGATAGAATGAACGTGAATATCATCTTCTGGGACGAAACAAAATAGGAAAATGTGCTTTCAGGTGTTAGCAATGAAGGCATTTCATGGCAGCTGCTGGGAACACCGCTACAATCACAACTGCTGTACTGCTGCGCTCAGCTACTATGCTGCTCACTGGTGGATGGTTTGCCCAGATTGGCATCAGAATACGCGCGCAAGGAGATAGCCAGCAGAATGCTACCAATAATTTCCATATCACTTCTGATCATCGTATTCCAAGGTCCGAATTCATGCATCTTGAGAAATGGACGGGGCGAATTCGGGGGGAGTGTATTGTCAAGATACTGAATATAATTACAGTCATACTCCGCGAAGGTGATGAATATCTGATGACGGTCCTGCGACACATGAAGACGACTAGAACTCGTAAGTAACACAGCCAGGCATTAAAGCCAAGTAAATTGAGGACAAAAATAAAAAACCAGATAAAAAATAGGAAAGTATAAGAGCTACTCCATAGGATAAGGGGAATAAATGCAACTTACTGGCCTGGGAGATTCAAAATGCCAGTAGGATCAGGGTCTGATTTTAGCCACGCAACCATCTGTGCAGCCTCTTGCATGCGAATAGGATTCTGCTTCTTCCTCCTCAACATTAGCTTTACTTCAATCAATGCTCGTACCCTCTCTGAGGATCCCCCATCCTCAAGATACCCATCTGTTCGCGCTTCAAAAGAGGCCTGTTTGAACTCTGCCTTGAATGATTTGCGGTGCAAGGTCCAGTCGCTTGCCTGGGGGAAGTACATGCTTAGCGCATTTAAGAAGTCCACTAGGGCAGTGTTGACAATCTGCTCATCTTTTGTTTATGGATACATCAGCTGATGTATGCAATCTCCGCAGGCCCTAGAGAATGAAAGGGCGAGTCTCTAGTATCTGGAGTATCATCAATCTCTAATAAATCTGGCAGTTTGCTTATTAACTTTGTTGGGGTTTCAAGCTGTGCTTCGCGCAGTTTTTGCTCTAAGCTACCCATCTTGGAACGTGTGCGATTAGAAATGGGCGAGAATACCACATTTGATTTGAAGTTCTCATCCCTGGATACTGCAGCCTGTAACTAATACCTTTTAGCTAAGGCAAATGTCCCTTCACGGATAGGGCCGTTTCGGAAACTTTGTTGGTAGTTGGTCCAGGATTGGAATGTTGCAAGTAGCTTATCCACTTCCTGTTTCCATGTCTCTAGTTCAAATTATTTTAGGCTAAGATCTCGACCGGTTACTGAGACCCAGAGAACTTGAAGCAACAAGTAAAACCTGCCCTTGCTGCCTTCATCCAGATAACCCATCTCGTCTCCCATCAAGCTACCAACCTTGTTAATCCCCTATTCTCTCTCTTCACTTTCTGCTAATATCTAAAAAGGTTGATATTCTCATCTTTTCTCTTCAAACTTAAGATGGAGGAGGCTCTCGTACAGGAGCGGGCTGCTCGTCGCCGTATGTTAACTAGGATTGAGAATTTGATCAAGCAAACCCCGAATCAGCATGTTGAATCCCACGACCTCAAGGCGGCCAGTATCCGCCACCTTCCTTTATCCCTTGAAGGGGATACTCAAAATTATCCATGCTTCTTTAAACCATACCAAGGAGAACTACCTCTCCCGCAGAAGGAGAAAGAGGATAAGTTGCTGAAATTTAAGCCCGATCCGGATCATATCATGTGGGATACTCGTGATATGGAGATATTTTTCACCCGTTATTTTCATGACTGCTGGGAATATGCATTGCAGAAGTACCCCCATAGCCCTCCGCTGTCCGGTATATATCGAGAGTATGTTATCTCTTACAGCTGCCTTGTCCTTTTAAGTCGGCCTCCTGACCGTTAATGATAGAATTGGAGATTACAAATTTGGCCAACTCCTGGAGTGTATAGGGTTCAACTGCTATGCTGTATCAGTAACTGATTACCCCCTGGGAAACTACCCACACTTCAAGGCCATCTTGGAAAGTGAAGCAATTGGGGATGATCGACTGCTTCGCGGAGAAATCATGACTATTACCGACATCATGGCTACTCGTCTGAAGACCAAGTCGCTGCGCCAGCATATAGTTGCCCCAGTAAGACCCCCTATAGAGGATTCTAAATAATCTACTAACCTTGCTCTGGTAGATGCTAGTTGTGTCTCTCATGGGTCCTCGCCATTGTCGCGTCCTGGAGGCTGATTTTGACGGAAAGTTTCTGAACATCCGCGCTTCCAAGCTTTATGATTTCACGCAAAAGAACACCGATACTGTACAATTGCTGACGCGGTATTGGCTTGGTGACGCGTGCGGCCAGACTCTGATGGAAACAGGTGTTTAGGCTGGATTATACTATGGTCCTGTCTGATAATGGGGATGCGGCTCTTAGGATGTATGGACGAGTGTTGTTCCGGAAACAACATCTACAACTTGGATGACTAGTAAATGGTTTTGACATTAACTTAAACCTGTAATAGAAAGTGCATGTGGGATATAAACCAAATTTGTTGATTGATAGCTAATGAACAGGTTGCACTGTATTTAATTTTCTAGTAGTCGAGATACGAGAAAAAGAGGGTAAACAGGGTAACCAGGGTAAATGGGGGTAGAATCTACTAACATAGGGAATTATAAATGATGTCGAAAGGAAGCTATCCCTGCAGTATATATAGTATATTTATATTGTAATAATTACTATAGTAAGCGAAGTGGCCAATATATATGCCCTGGGGTTAGGATCTAGCAAGAACATATACTTCAAACCTCAAAGCAATTCTATGTAATTCACTACCCCTAAGGATTATTGTATATGCGACCAATGATGGTAGGTTCCATGCCAGGAAGGGGAGATTTCTGTGGGGGGAAAGCATGATGAGGTTGCGGCTCGCCAGGTCGCCAGGTCGCCAGGTGGCTACCAAATTTGACTAGTTGAGACCAGTAATAACCAAATTTCATTACCATATGTAACAATACTAGTAGTAAGTTAGTAATATATTTTATAAAGCTGCAGGATTTAAAATTACCTATCTAGTAATACTAGTTATGACTAGTTATGCCCAAGTTAAGTAGTAAAATACTACCTAGCAAGACAAGATTTAGTATAGTATACTTTTTATGGTATATTATAGTAGAATATATATCTAGTTATTACTAGTAATATCTAGAAGTTCTAGTACTACTAGTAATTACTAGTAAAATTAGAATTTCTAGTTATTACTAGTAGGGCTAGTAGTACTAGAACTTCTAGATATTACTGTAAGCGTCTCACTGGTGAGGTGCTTGGGTATGGGTAGTGTTGGTAAAGGAAGCAAAGCTACACAGAGTATGAGGGTAGTAGGAAGGTATTAAAAATAATAAAATAAAGTGCTTGCCTCTTAGTACTTTAGAGATTATTATATTACTATTTATATTGCCTAATTAAGTTACTAGTATAATATAGGTAATTTAAATATTATTATTTTTCTAATTATTCTTAGTTACTAGATATATAGTTTAATATATAGTTTAGCATATAATGTTGAATTGAAGGGGTATCTCATGATGTACTTAGTAAGCAAAGGGGGGGTTATTACCCTATATTAAGGCCTTAGGCAAGTACACAACCCCCCAAGAGACACACATATCAATATATCCAATCACCTACTTCTATTAAGCTACCCCTAGGATTATTATATATCTAATAATTAAGAGTCTTATATTTACTCAAAGCATGTAAATCTATACTAATAACCCCTACTAAAACCTACTAATTATTAAAATACTAATAATCCCTACTAAACCTACTAATTAGTAAAATACTGAGCGCAATACCTCTAATTACTAATAATAAAGATAATATAGTAAGGCTTATTAAGTAGGAAGACTAGCTAATATAGTAATCCTTATTTAAAGTACGGGTGAGAGATAATAATCTATAAAAAATAATAGAAAGTAGCAAGAGTTATCTATAATAACCTACTAGATTAATTAGGGATAGTAAAGAAACTTTACTAGTAAATAATACTAAGAGTTCTATAGTATTATTATAAGACTTTAACTCTAAAGTAGTACTCTATAAAATAGAAATAAATAAGTATAACTATTAGGTTATAGAACTTAAGAAACTAAAAAATTAGGTCTAATATACTATTTCTCTAAAAATCTATTACTTCTACTACAAGTTAATAGAAACCCTAGAGAAGTAGTACCTCAAACTAAAAGAATATATAATAGTTAACTAGAGATAAATTTAAAATATAGCCTATAATACTTATATAAAGGTAATCTAACCCCTAAAAGGTAATATAGTTAGTTAGTTAAATAACTAGAAATTTACTATTTAATAAGTAATTAAAGTAAACTTTAGAGTTATAATATTATTACTAGACTAGATAAAAGACTTCCTAAATATAATATATTACCTAGCTCCATTCTAGACTATATCCTATTAGTTAGACCATAAGAAGAAGATACTAGCAGGAATACTATTATTCTATACTATAGTAAATAACTTCTATAATACCATTAATATATTCCTATAGCAGTATAATAAGACTAATAGAGGGGCTTTTAGACTAACATTTGCTACTAAAGATATAATAGATATAACTAGTAATAAAGAAATATCCCTACTATAGGATAAGAAAATAAAATATAAATATAGATATAATAGTATAGGAAAAATAGACTCTAAAAGAAGTACTTCTAAGGATTTATATTAATTATATAATATATATTTTTAAAGGTATAAATAAATATAATACTTTTATCTATTCCTAGAAAAGATACCTAAGGACTTTAAAAAAAAGAGTATAATAAGAAAGCTAGTTAATATATAACTTAAGATAAATAAGGCCCTAGCCAAAAAGATAGTAAAGGAGCAAGAATAAAATAAATAAGATTTAGAATAACTAGAAGGAAGAAGTAATCAAGAAGTAGGTTAAATAAAAGGTAGGAATAGAGATAAAGTTAAAGCTTTATTTAATATCTAATTTAAAACTATACTATACCTATTATAATACTCTATTATTCTTAACTTAAGATTATTAATTTATATATTTAATAATTTATATTAATTTAAGTAATATATAGAATTAATATAAGATAACTATATATAGGTAGGAGACTTAAAAATACTTATTATAGAATATAAAGATATTAGTATATAGATTATAACTTAAAAAAATAAAGATATAAAATATAATTATATAATTCTTAAAAATATAGCTTATTATAAAAAAATAGTATATAATCTAGTATTACTTATATTATTAAACTAAATAGATATCTATTTTAAGAATAATCCTAACTCTAACTTACTCTATACCTCTAAAGGTGTAGTAGCAGCCTATCTTAATAAGAAATATAGCTAATTTATAATAAAATATAATAATAAACTATACAATATAATAGGCCAGGCAATATTCTAAACTATTACTAGTATTAGAGATATAAAATAGTAGTATTTATGCCTTAGATATCTAGGACTACAGGTATTAGATTACCTAATTAAGAATACTAAGGGGGTAAGGATTAGAGGACCCACTATAATAGAATATAATGCCTGTAGTATAGTAAAAATAAAGTAAAGAATTAACTAAAAAAACTATATTACTACAGAAAAACCAGATCTATAGTTAGTAATTAACTTTTATAACTTTAAAATAGGGATAGATAATTACTAAGCCCTACTATTAATTATAGATAAATAGTTAGATTTTATATAGGACTATTACTTCTTAAACTAATATATAGAGATAATTAAAAATACCCTACTTAACTTATTTACCCTCCTAGAGAGGTAATATAATATCAAACCTTAAGTAATTAAATTAGATAGCAAGATAAAGAGATAGTTAGAAGATTTTATATAATTTAAAGGAGCAAGACTTAACCATTTTACTCTATATATACTAGCCTAAAATAAAGGTATAGAGTACTTAGGGGGTATAATAAAAGAGAAGGCATATATAATAAAATAGGGAGTAAAATTACCTATATTTCTATAGCCTAAATATATCTATATAGTAGTATATCTATATAATTAAATACCTAAATATCAGGCAGGATAAAAAATACTAATTAATTAATTCTATACCTATATTACCTACTAAAATAGAATAGTAATAGAATACAAGAAACCCCAAGAAGCTTACCTAAAGGTATATAATTATAAGATATTTATAATAATTAAACTACAAGTAACTATAATAGTAAAGTATAGAAAGTAGTTTAACCTAAGAATATTTATAGAATATATAATAGAATATAAATCTATTAATATCTATTAAATATAAAATCTAAAGAAGGAAAGGAAGATTATCTATATAAAAAATATTATATTTAATGAGAAAGAATTCTTCTCAGGAGATAGAAATATATTTATCTAAGTAATAAAGGATAACTTCTTAATAATTAAAATTAATAAATTTAAATAAATAATTAAGAATATTAAAGTTAAAACTTATATTCTAACCTAAAAAGTATTAAATATAGATCACCCTATAATAGAGGATATTCTAGAAGATAATTTTAACTTACTTAATTATCTAGTTTAAATATCAAGATTAGTACTTAAAGCTATGGATAAGGATAAGAATACTAATATAAATAAGTAAATAGCCTATCTAACACTACCAGGCGGCAGCCTAGAATAGTTAGCAGCAATATTAGCAGGTGCTTACTAATATAAGATAGCTAAAACTAAAGAAGAAACTAAGCTAAATAGAAGCTATTAAATTACATAGAAATCAGCATTCATGGCAGGGAGGTTAATATAACTAACCTAATAAGATAGAATACTAGCCTCTAAGGTAGAAATATAAAGATAGAATAGGTAACTAGAGAGTCTAATTAGGACCCACCTAGATTAGTTACTAACCCTTCTAAAGACACACTACCAAGTCAAAAACCACCTACTATCTAAAGAATTTATAAAGGCAGAGCAGGACTATCTAGCCAGCCATAAAATAATAAAAATATAGGTAGAAGTAGATAGACCTAAGTATATAAAAGTACTAGAATATAAATAAGTATATATATATAAAAGTAATTAAGATAGTAACCTAATTAAATATAAAGCACGCCTAGTAGTAAGAGAAGATTAATAAGAGGATTTAATAAAGAATCTATATACTATAATTTTAGTAATAAGATCCCTCTAAACCTTCCTAGTAGTAATAGCCTAATTTAATCTAGAATTAAAGTAATATAATATTATAAATATGTTTATTAATATAGATAATAATAAAAAAATATATATAGAAATGCCTCTAGAATATTAAAAATTAGATAAAGTATTAAAGCTAAAGAAAGTACTATATAAACTTAAATAATCCCCTTACTTATAATAGATAACTCTCT